CGGCAAAAAAGTCTACTAACTGGCAGTTGATTTCAAGCTACCATGACCCCGGTGTATGTCATATTTGACTACTTCCAAATTACTCGTCTCACCTTTTTTTATACCTTTGTGTCTGTCTCTTTGACATCTTTAAAACACTTCTATTCCACCCCCCCCCTCTCGATTTTTTTCACTCTGATGTACCTTCCCCCTTCCCCTGAAGTCCAACTTTGACGTTTCTCCCCTCTGTGAAGTCCGAAGTCAGCTTAAGGGCTAATGATAACTATCAAAATGCCTGCTATTTGTTATAAATAAGTAATGGATTTCATTCAGGTTTTGGGCAATTCTCCATTCCGCTTTCGATCCCCTCTTGACGTGTTTTCTTTATTATGATTAATTCATAATTCCATCTATTATGATAGATTATATTATAGCTCTCTATACTTCAAAATTTGATTCATTTTCAAGAACAATTGTGAGTTATTTTGTGCGCATAGCAATCTACCTTAATGCTTTCGCTTTTAGTTGAGGTAGAGCTACCGTTTCCCTTTTTTCTACTTTCTGTACCAACTTGGAATTTATGCATTTTGCCCTCTAGAACTTACTTACAAATTTAAGCGAGGCTCATCATTGTTAATGGTATATTTAGGGAGAGAAATTTCAGCTCCTAAATCATGTCAACATATTGCTATTTTCAACTTTACAAATTCTAACTCCGAAGGGTGGGATGGAGATGTAACACTATTATTAGAAAATAAAGAGAGAAGCCATAACTGAAATCCGAAATTTTGACTGATTAGAGGAGGGGATTACGAAAATAAAAATTTCTGATAATGTGGAAAAAATCGATGAATAGTTTGTCGGCCAATTGGAAAGTCGTGGATTGAACATACTGATGGAGGCAAAAATCGGTTGAATAAATTATTACTTATGGGAAATTCAAAGAATACTATAACCTACCTGGTTGCTAAGGATATTACTGAATTTTTTATTTATGTTCTATAAAATGCTTCATAAAATTAGCATTCATTGTTTTGTACGCGTCTTTACCATTAACAGGTCTATACATTGAGTCCGACATTTCGAGCAGAGCCCTCGCACTCGCGTTTTCACTTGGCTGAATTCCTCATGTTAGAAGGGGAGTCTGTGGCTATGACGACTACGGAGGCACTTTGTGACGAGGTCGAGGCCATTGTGCGTAAGATAACCACTATGTACCTGGAAAGCATTTCTTCCTCCTCTTCTGGATCCTCTACCCCTCAAAAGGTCAGTTTTTTTCTATTTTTCCAACCACTCCTTTTTAATGCCAAACTATAAGACAAATTAGGCTATTGCATCTGTGTTTCGTAGTTGAATTTTATGTTTACTGTTACAGTATGGTGCTTCAAGGTACTTTGAGTCAAGAAATAAGGGGGGATAGATTTTCTCAACTCTCCCTCTCTCTCTCTCTAGTATTCTAGTACGCTCTTATCACCTAAGATATTACACTAGACTTACCTCCACGCGGTGCACCCCGGGCAACGTATTCTCATACGGCAAACAAGTCTAGCAACCGGCAGTTGACTTCTGACTTCAAGCTGCCATGACTCCACTCTATGTCTTATTCGGTCACTTTTAGCGTACTTATCCTACCTTTTCTCTGCCTTTGTGTCTGTCTGTCTGTCTCTTTGACATCTTTAAAACACTTCTATTCCACCCCCCCCCTCTCGATTTTTTTCACTCTGATGTACCTTCCCCCTTCCCCTGAAGTCCACTAAGGGGCTAATGATAACTATCAAAACGCCTGCCATTTGATATAAATAAATTTTAAATAATACTCGATGAATACATTAACATTATTATTTCATTGCCATTTGAAGTAATAATGTTAGTATATTAACATTAACCTATACAGAGATAAGATTCAACAAACGAAACATACTTTACATGGAGGAACAACGTGCACAGCACAAGTTGTCATTTGATGAAATTTAATGTGATCTTTATTTAATTATCATAAATACGTTTTCATTGGAGACATAAGTCAGGCTATCATAGTAAAACGACAAGAACAAAAAATTACCTCGACTTACCGAGCCATATTGGAGGCCACTTCAACAGCACAAAGCACTGAATAAACGGCAGTAGCCACTGGTGTATGCGGAAGACTAACACACTTCACATTCATCTTAAAATCATCCGCCAGCCACCGAGCAACCTCTTCCCAAATCCCCACAACTTCTACCACCATTCCAGGAGCATAATACTCCCTCGGTATTCCGATTCGTGGAGATTGGGGTGAGGAACGATTTTGTATTCTCGCCAGAGTTGCGTCTAGTTTCCTGGCTGCACTATCCGTTTGAAGCCAGACGGAAAGGACCTATTGGTAAAAAGGAATAAACAGAAACCCTACCTCCTCTACATCAGCAACTCTAGCAGCTACAATTGAGGGACAATCAAAAATATTTGCCAACGGGATCATTCCTAGCCTTGAAACTAGCCCATAAGTTGGCTTAAAGCCCACCACTCCACACAATGAGGCAGGATTTCGGACTGAACCACCAGTGTCTGACGCTAGGGCAAATGGTGCGAGACCCCCGGCAACAGCAGCAGCACTTCCTCCTGAGCTACCTCCTGCTATACGAGCATCCCACTTAGAAGACCAGGGATTCACTACAGGCCCACTAAGGGGATTCTCTATTGACCCCGAACCCATAGCGAATTCATCCATATTGGTCTTTCCTAGGCATATACCACCCGCATCTAAGAGAGCTTGAATAACCTAGGAATTCATACTAATAACTAAAAATTAAATGGTTCTTACTGAGGCATTGTAAGGGGATAAGAAATTATGAAGGGACTTTGAAGCACAAGTAGTGGGAATAGCATCTTTAAGACAAAAATTGTCTTTGGCCAAAAATGGTATCCCTGAAAGGGGGCCATGAGTACGATTCTGAGGTAGATCAGTAATTTGACTAATTACAGAATTCATAGACGGTAAATTGAGATCAGACGCAAATAAATTCTTAGCACTGGCGGAGCAATCAGCTTTGATCCGGTTCCGTAAGAACATACAGAGGTGAAGTGGATCTAGGTTGCCCGAACGCATTGCTCGCCGAAGTCGTTCAATTGATCCAATCTTCATAATACTAAACCTGATCACAATTCAGTACAAAATCTATTCCAAGTTGACCATATACCAAAAGACACGAATAAGACATATAATATATTTACAAATAGCAATGCACAGGACCCCTATGGAAGAGGTGTCATTCCAAATCATCATCGTCGAATGGATCATATCCAAAGTCTGAAATTAAAAAAATTCGTTATTGCACCACAAAATATTCCGCGGTTACGTACCATTGGTAAAATTTATACTCAGATCAGACGAATCGTTTTCGGGTGTATTCTGAGCCATATCCTAAATTTATTAAAAGCTACTTAAAATTTAACAGGCTTACATCATCCATAGGTGTATAATTACTTAAATCGAAAGCCTCGTCATTGGGCTTCATTTTTAGACAAGTTGACCTAATTTTACCAAATGGACCAACAATCTGACCTCAAGGTTTGACAGTTATTTACCAAAATTGCAATTCGATGCTAATGGCATTAAAAGAAGCATAAATAATGATGTTATATAATCATATATAACATAATGTAAGGTTATTGTCCGGGGTTTTTCGCTCTTAGCTTTTCAAATCTGATGCATAAGTAGCACTAGTTGTCTTTTCTTTTTATTTCTAAATTCTTTTCTGAAAGCCCAAATTGAAAAAATAATAAATATTCCTGAAACGGTTTGATGAAAAATAGCTAGATGTTTTTTTTCTGTCAATTTAAAGACAGTGTTATAAATGTACATTTCCATCGGAATTGCTTTTGCTTATGGTAGTAAAGCTCTGCTAACTCATTTACTGAGCGGTCCGAATTGTTGGATATAAAAATGTCATATTTGAGGCAAATAATTAAATTTATGTTATTTTGGGTTTTCATTATCTATCATAAAATTACCAAACAAATTTTTAGTTTGCAATCAATCCAAATATTTAATTAAGCCAATAAAATTTGTGAATGTTTTCTTCAATATTGAAATGAGTTCATTTTTATGGGAAGTGGCTCACCATGGGCAACGAAAATCATACGAGGAATATATCTATAAACCTGCACCCAACTTCAAACTATCAGGACCCCCTTCCACAATACTTATGTTAACCTAATCTCTGCCTTTGTGCCTGTCTTTTTAAATCTGTGAAGCACTCATCTTTTACTCATCTCGATATTTTGTGACTTTGATGTTCCATCAATTTGTGAAGCCCAAAATCAATTAAAAGGCTAATGTTAACTATTATAATGCCTGCCAATTGATATGAATTTTTTTGGGAAAGAGAATTGGGAATAATATTTCCGTCACAAATAATATTAAGTGTAACAACCTTTTGTATGACCATTTTAAAATGTCTCCTGAAGAGCTTGATTACACAAACCGCTTTTTTACTCAAATTACAGACATGCAACGTTTGAAATGAATGGGTCAAAAATGGAAAACAAATAACTAGGTTCTATTGAATTATGTTCTTGAAAAGGGTACGACATGTAAAGCTTTAAAAATCATGATATTTTTCATAAATTAGAAAAAAGCGTTAATTGAAAATTGAATATTTAATTCAACCCTCATTAAGAATATAAGCGGAAGATGTGATTTGAAATAGATGTGGTTCCCGAGTATAAAAAAGTTTGTTATATCGGCTCATTTATGGTACGAGGGTGAATGTTTGAAAACGGCATTTTATAGTCGAGTCAGGAGTGAAAAAATATTCAACCTTCATATTAACGCCATTTCACACATGTGTCAGTTATACAGTATATTTACATTGTATTGAATCATTTTAGCTAACTTGCAAAATTCAGATTAAAAGTTTGTAGAAATTCTAAAAAAAATTTGTATATTCAAACCAAAGTAATTTAAAAAAATAATTTTACGATAAAAATAGTAAAATTAAATTAGAAAATATTCAGCCACCATTATATTATACCTGACTGCGATTCTTACTCTTGTTTACAAAGGCACACAGGAAAAATATGAAATTCCCTTTGACAAATACAATTAAATACTGACCGAATAAAATTTACTTAATGTTGCAATTGAAATATTTTTGAAGTGCTTCTACATATCTAGGTAATAAGAAAGATAAATACTGTAACAATATTTAAATATTAATTAATGATATTTTCAGAATTGTATAATTCAAACCTGCAATCGATTATTTAAAATAAGTATTACATTTTATTGTTAAGTTTTCGAATGTTGTTTGAATGTTTTCATTTAATTGCGGGGATCTTCAGTTCACGCCTTCTCTTCTTAGGATGGTGAGTGGAGAATTTGTTAGTTTATTTTTAGATATTCTTTTCTTTTTTCAAAACCCTCGTGGGCAAAGAGGTCATTGTCGAGCTTAAAAATGACTTATGGTAAGAATTTCTTTACCTAATTTCCTCTTCTCAGCATACATGGGACTCTTCATTCCGTAGATCAGTATCATAACTTCCGGCTCACTGACATATCAGTTACTGATCCCGAAAAGCACCCCTACACGGTAAGCGATGAAGCTTATCAATCAACTCCACTCTAGTTATCTGTTAGGAATTGTTTCATAAGAGGATCTATCGTCCGCTATGTTCAGTTGCCTGCTGATGATTGCGATGTTTATGAACTTCAAAACGCTTCAAGAAAAGAAGCTACAATGAACAAACAACAGCAGCAACAACAATCCACGCAGTAGTAGACTTTGCTTACTGTTTTGTATGTAAATATACTGTTTGTAAATGCACAAATAAATCTTTTAGCCTTAAATCTACGTTCAGTCAATTTTAAAAATATGGCTCTTTACAAAATTAGTCATGTCATTTACATAGTAGTATTAGGTATATTTGGAAAATCAACTTCTTCGATAAGTGGAACATTGTTTTGCTTTGCATTATCTCTGATGATACTTCGCCAATTTGGACCTGCTGATTTCTCTTCCGACTTAGTGATAGCAGACTGCTCGTTTTCGATCTCGATTCTCATCGTTTGTTCACAAATTGAAGCTTCCACGTCACGCACAAGAGTAGAGACGCTTTTCTCGTACCATATTCTTGAAGCCTCATCTTGCTTCCCAATGCAAGCCATTAAGAATTTTAACTTATGCCGAGCAACTGCCGATTGGGTGCTTTTCGGTTTAACATGAGAAAATATTTCAAATAGTTCATTGAGTGCTCGATTTACAAAAGGATCGAATTTCTGCAGCATACAAAACATATCATCGGTTAAGAGTAATATGAGGTTGTGAGAACAAGCAAGATGGTTCTGAGCTAAACGAGATTGTAAAGAAGCTATAACCTCTGAGAAATCCGAGAAGATAACCATTTTGGAAGGAGTGGAGGTTCTTATAACTCGAGTTCTGTTAGAGTTATTTTTTGTTGACTCTGTGGATTGAAAATAGGAAACAAGCTTAGGCAGAAGATCGCAAGCGTCTCTTCGCATTTCTTTAAGATGATCTCCGTTGAAGAATCTAAGAGAAACCTCAATTTGCTTAAGGAATAATTAACCAACCTTGAAACGAAAGCATAGCCTATTAACGTTTCTGCCAGTGAAAAGATTATAGACGCGTGCGGCGCCTTGGAAGTAAGCATTGATAAGGGCTTAACGTTGGAACTACGACCGTTCGCGGAAGGTTCCTCAACAAGGTCATCAGGAAAGGAGGCAACAAGTTTTCGCGAGGCTGATTGCCACCAAGGTGTCCAAACAGGGACTTTACTGTAAATGCTTCCTGTCGCAATTTGTCGGTAAAATTCTCGTTTCTCTTCCTTAGATAGTAATTCCAATAACTTTTCAACATCAATGTTATCGGCAGTTAAATCAATGTTTTTAACTCTAAAAGACAATGATTTTAGGCATATTGCAAACACATAAAAGTACTTAAAGAGGTTTTACTAAAACATGCCTTTCCGCCAAATCCTCGGCATTCTCTTCAGAAGAACCTTCCTCCTCACTTCCTTCTGATTCACCATCAGCATAATCGTCTGCTTTATCATCATCCTCGGAAAGCATACGCTCAATTTGTTTTCTTTTTTCATCGTCATTGTTAAGATTTTTTATAGCGTTTTCACAACAATTGCGGTAGAATTTTTCAGAACATTTGCTGTGACTGCGATCTCTGTAGCATGCCAATGAGCAGTAACTTATGGAGCAACGTGGGCAAGTGTATTTGGCCCTATTTTTGGTACATATTTTACAAATTAGAAAGTCAACATTTACAATCGATGAACCCTCCATGTGGTTTGGGTCATTAATTAGCCAGTTAAAGTAGCCCTATTGGGTTGACCTTGTCGAATTTAAATCTTTTAACATTCAGTAATAATTATGTCATTAGATGTTTAAATTTATAGATTAACATAAAAACGTATATTTTTCTAAAATCCGCAAAAAAATGCTTAATCTACTCTATTGTTTGCCTTATAAAACATACCAAGTAAGGATTTAACTTTTCAATACACTATATCAAAGGCTCAATACTAACTGACAAAAATCCTATGAAGTTCGATCATAATTAGTCCCAATGTTGCATAGGTGATTAAGACTGATGACTTTAATATGGAAAAAGTTTAGTAGAACAGAGAAAACTAAAGCTGTTACCCATTTAATATATCACATTGAGAACAAAAAAAGTTTAATTGAATTGACTTAGTTAAAAGAAAACAGTAAACCTCAGGATAGAGATTTGGAGTCTAGTAATTAGTGTATGAGAATAATACTGTGTTTATGAGTTCATGTTCAGTTGCTTTTCGGAATAAATACAGGCCGTTGCAAAGTGGATACAGTCAAAAGTTCTGTTAGTCTTAAACGCCCTTCTGAAATAATAATTATTATAATTAATCAAATGTAAGAATCCTTATCAAGCGCAAAAATTGAATAGGACGCCTAATTTCGAACGTTGAGTAACTACCTTAATCGATATCTAGACTTACCCCCATGTGGGGCAACATAGGCTATGCAAATCATACGAAAAATATCTATAAACCGCCACCCAACTTTAGACTATCAGGATCCACTACCATAGTATTTATGTTGACCTAATCTCTACCTTTGTGTCTGTCTTTTTTAAATCTGTGAAACACTCATCTTTTACTCGACATTTTGTGACTTCGATGTTTCTTCAATCTGTGAAGCCCAAAATCAATTAAAAGGGTAATGATAACTATCAGAATGCTTGCCATTTGATACAAATAAATAAGATCCAGCAGAATTAGGTAAATTGGTTCACTTTTATTTGGGCTAAATTTTGTACTCTTGTTGTTGTCAACAAAGAACCAGTGATATATATTAAATGACCAATACGTTTAAAGATGCAAATGCTAAAATATTTAAGAAAAGTATTTCCAATTCTAATATGAGCTCTTCCGTACTGGTAACAAAATTATAAAAATATCCCACATTTTAACTAACTTTAATTAGATTGACTAATGAAGAACAATATCAATCGTAAATAGAACTGTGAGGATATTTCTCCTTAATGAAGCATTCCCGAAAGTATTTTATCTTATATAACTCAAAGCAGCTTTATAAACCCACTGTAAGGTTTATCTATTTATATTACTTCAAATTTTAAATGGGATTCAGAAGATAATTAAAAACTGCATACTTAGAGAATGTTTTCTAGTCAAGCATAATATTAATGTTGGAATCATTGTAATCAAAACCAAATAGAAATCAGCAAACTTGTTACCATTAGAATCTTTATTTAAATAAGTAATAATTGCAGAATATTACCTATTTTTTCACAAGCAGTCACATTGTTTTACTTAGCTATTGGTTAGTGGGTAAACCGTCCATTATTTGTTTGTTGAGTGACTTCGTTCGTAATGTCTTCTAAGAGTCCTCGTGAAGCTCTTTTGACTAGGGCTAAATTGGCCGAACAAATTGAGCGTTATGGTGGTATGGTGTTCTTTTCATGCCTTGTATTGCGCCTTGTTTAGATATGGCTCAATGTATGCGCAAGATTGTTGAGCTTAACGATGATTCCATCCCTGAGCTCTCAGTTGAAGAAAGAAATCTTCTTTCTGTCGCTTATAAGAACGTAATTGGCGCCCGTCGTTCATCATGGAGGATCATCAGTGCCATTGAGGCGAAAGATGAGGGAAATGACCGTTCCAAGAACATTAAAGCCTGTCGTGAACAGGTGGAGAAGGAGCTCAAAAAGATGGCTAATGAGATTCTAACCCTTCTTGAAAAGAACCTGATTCCTCGTGCGCAGAGTGCCGAGTCAAAGGTCTTTTACTACAAGATGTATGTCTATAGTAAACCTGTCATTATCCACATTTTAGGCAAGGTGATTATAACCGGTATCTTGCCGAAATCGCCACTTCTTCTGAACGCGAGGAGGTTTCCAACCGCAGCCTGAATGCTTACAAGACTGCCACTGACATTGGTACAGCTGAATTGCAACCTACTCATCCAATTCGCCTGGGTCTTGCTCTAAACTTCTCAGTGTTTTACTATGAAATTGTAAACAAGCCTCAACAGGCTTGCAGTATTGCCAAACAAGCATTTGATGATGCCATTGCCGAATTGGATACTCTCAATGAGGAGAGCTACAAGGACTCTACCCTCATCATGCAACTCCTCCGAGACAATTTGACTCTCTGGAGATCCGACGTCGATCACGAAGAATGTGACAAAGACTTAAGTGCTGGAGAAAAGTCTTAATTATTCCATTACCCAGCAACCTTTATCTTCTAACGAACTCTATCTCTGTCTAATCTCCCCAGCATTCATTTCCCACATTTCGTGTTGCGAAATCACACTAAATTTCTAGTTTAAATTTGACCACGCTTTTTTCAAAAGAGGAAAAATGCACTAGAAAAAACAGTGCCCCTCCCCTACATTCGGTGTACACGTCAAATTTTACTCGGTCACTCTGTCCCCATCTCGTTCTTGTGTTATGTTCTCTCCCTCTCGACTTGCCTAATCACTGTTTCAGTCTAATATACTCATTGAATCATGCGTCGCTGTTCTAGGTATAGTGTAATCTGATCGTCCCATTTTTGTGGTTGTCGATATCCAGGAATGATTTTTTCCTTTGGTCTACCATTTGACAAATTTAAGGCGTCGTTGGATTCTGGGTCTGAAATGCCTTTTTCGGTCCTTTTTACTGTTTAAATTTTTCATTTCCTTCGAGTGGCTTTCTCCTTTGTGTGATATCGTGTCTCTTCTCGCTTCAGGTTGGTAGTTTTGATTACCTTTGAGACAACTTTCTACTTAGTATTGTTGCATTAATTTAGGTGCTTTTACCTGCTTTTATTTCGTGTCCTAGGGTGGCTAGAAGAAGAGTGAGTCATTCATTTTTATGGCTCACACAATGGTATGGGGACGAATTGTAAGTATTCGGTATTTTAATAATAGGCATCGCTGGTTAATACTTATATCAACTTTCATGGGAAGAGCTGACTTATATATATATATAATTAATAAATACCAGTTTCCTAAAAAGTTGTCGAAGTTATAGCTGTGGGCTTCAAGATATCTATTAGTAAGGAAACTTAGAAATCTTAAGCGAACGAAATGGGACCCACTTGCCTGACGATCATATATTATCAATTTAAAATCAGCTGTTGTTTTTGCCAATTTAGAGAAAATGATAGCTATGTCAATTGTCCCGTATTTAACCATGTGGAGGGTCGATCACAGAACTCCCTTTTATGAAGCGAAATGAGGGATTAAATGTGAGCCACCTCTCTGAGTGACACCAAACTACCATCTATTTAGTCAAGTCAAGTGTTTTGCCAAAATTTGTCATACTGGGTTTGGGAAGGTGAGCAATCAATGAAGATCAAGTGAGTGTAGCAAAATGTGAAACTAAATGAGGGTAAATTGGCATAATCAACTGGAAAAAAATGTATGTACAATGTTCCATGATGGTAACATATACATTTAAACGGATGCAAACTAATTACGTGTCGACGTGGTTTGATCAATGCTTTGTAATTGTGTTAGATCGAGGTCTATATTATCCTAAGAGGGGATGAAATCCTAGGCATTCTCAGCTCAAATAGAATTATTTCGAGATTAGTCCCTTCTAAACATTATTATTATTGTATCAAATGGCAGGCGTTTTGATTGTTATCATTAGCCCATTAGTTGACTTCAGTCTTCACAGAGGGGAAGGAACATCAAAGTGTAAAAAATTCAAGAGGGGGGGGGGGCGGAACAGAAGAGTGCATCAAAGACGAAGGTAGATAAGGTGGAAAAAAGGTGGATGAGTACTGTGAAAGTAGTCGAATATGACAATACAGTGGGGTCATGGTAGTTTGAAGTCAACTGCCAGGTAATAGGCTTTTTTGCCGTATGAGTATACGTTGCCCAGGGTGCACCACGTGGAGGTAAGTCTATCACACACCCCGTCCCTTCTAAACATGATAGAGTCAATTGGATGTTGAACAAGCCTTGACTTATTTTCGGTATTCTCTATGGTAGGATCCCCTACTTTGGAATAGTTTCTGGAATTAGATAAGCTGCCTCAACGATGAAGAGGAAATATACCTATGATGTGGAATGTAT